TAAATGCAATAAGGACAGGTAATAAAAGTATCTCTGGTTATCTCTGCCATTCAATAATCATTTTTATTAGTTCTTACTCAATTTACTTATAAATTAACACTAAATTTCATGAACAATCAATTATCTAACTCAGGGGTCGGCAACTCGCGGCCCGCAAAGCAATTTTTAATGGCCCGCACAAAGGTGGTTAATTTTTGTGTTTTACTTTTGTTCAATAACATTTTTCATATAATTTTCAATATTATATAATTCTTTTTCCTTTATAAATAAAATCTAATCTAACCGTTTCATAATAGCAATACAATTATAAGTATTATATCATAATATGTAATTTTTTTTTTTTAATGTGGCCCTTGATGAACAATTGAAAAAAAAAATGGCCCATGTGGTTAAAAAGGTTGCCGACCCCTAATCTAACTAACCATAATGGTATAGTCACTGTTTAAATATAAAAAAGTAAATTACACTATTTATTTCTACTGGCATATAATTGCATTATATAATACATCATGGTATATGTATCTATGTTAATAACATAATGTTTTATAATTCATAGAAATTGCCTAGAGATGATCATATTTACTTACAATTAATAAATGAATTTGAATAATCCACAAGAGGTCCATTGGTTGTATCATGGTAAGTAGATAAAATCAAATAGTGAAATTACCATTTCGGTAATGTATTATCATAATATTTATTGAAAATGAATATTTTGTATTTATTTTCTTTTTAGATGACGAAGTTTGAAGTATAAACAACCATTATTTTTTCATTTCATTACCTACATATTTTCATTTCCCAAAATTATGTTCTTATTTTTATTACAATTAAATTCATTCACTCCATCAAAATCATTCATTGTATCAAATTACTAATTTATTGTACAATATTAATATTTAAATAAACATCATTAAGCCTTAAAATTTTTATACACTTTAATAAATATGTAATATATTATTTCTTATGTTGAGTAATTTATCTTAAAAATAAACCTAAACCCATAGTGCTATTAAAATATACCATAAACATTATATGTACTTATTATAACGAAAAAATATCTGTAAAAAATCACATGTTTTATGCACATTACACACAAGAAAATATTAAATTTTAAATCATAGATAAATGAAGTTTAAAATTATTAACTTAATATATTGGTACCTAGTTATGTATTATTATTACATAGGGTGTTACCACTGGGTATCTTCCCTAATCTAATTATTCATATTATTCTTACTTGTCACCTATCAAACCTACTTATTATACTAAGAATATGTATAGATTGTAGATTATTTAAATAAAAAAAAAAAAAAAAAAAAAAAAAAAAAAGGTATGTATTAAATGAAAAATAACACTAGGTATTTTAGTTATTTACATAGTTTCTTTTAGTAATTTATATTATTATATCACCTAGATTTTGTCTTACATAAAAGGTTGTATTTAATATTGATTATTTTATTATTTAACTTTATGTTTTGAATGGAGCGATGAATGTATCAATTTTCAATGACGAGTCTTAAGTTTATGTGTGTGTGTGTGTGTGTGTGTATACGTGTACACAATAAGCAGTCGATAAATACTTCAATTTTCAACTTTGAAGGTGGAAAATCGTATCTAGTTTATTCTAGATGGCAATACAAAATTTCTCTGCAATATTCAAAATAATTCGGAAAAAAATTTAAATTAAAAATAAGGAAAAACTAGAATTTTTACACAAATCCAATTTTTATCAAAATAGAATTTGTTTTTTTAATGTAAGTCTAAAAAGAATAACCATAGATATTCTTCAAATGTTTATACTATAATTTTCTATTTATGATAAAATTTTGATTTTTTTGAGTAATTTATAGGTATAAGAAATTTTAATTTTTTTTTTCTATTAATATCGATTGGACATTATTTACTGAGTAGAAATGCTTGAAATTTTAATACAATGTTTTTTATAAGTTATTAAATTTTCTATAAAAAAATATCAAAAATGTAATCATAAGCAGTGTTGACCTGGATTTAAAGGGCCCAGTAAGTATTTAGGTATTTTAAGGGTCTATCAAATATACACCTTAAACTTTTTTTTTTACAGCTTTCAATGTTATGAAAAAAGTTCAAATATTAAGGTTAACAATATCTATATTTATACAATATGTAATTACAAAATGCATGAAATGCGTATAAAAATTATATAACTGAATACAGAATAGAACTAGATATGCTAACTGAGGATATTCAAAAAATTAACCATGCAATAAAACTATACGAGTATACGACCAATTTAAAATAGATAGTAATGCATTTAATTTTTATCAGAGACAGATTATCGATAACAATGTTTTAATTTATAACTTTTAAGTTATATTACTATTTTAGTCTATTTATATATTGTTTTTAATTGTCTATAATAATATTTTTATTATGTTAATTATAGTATTGACGTTAATTCTTTATTTGTGCGGTAAATGGTGATTAGCAGTCAAACATGTTGGCACTCACAATAGTTTAGATAAAATGTAATACAACCGCTCTTTGCAAGTGCCAAGTGATAATAATAAGCAGCAATAATCTGGTTTATAATAATTTAATTTAATTTAATATAATTGTAAAATGTACACGTCAACAAATATAGTATAATAATATTACTGTAGTACATGCTGTCAATGTTGCACTCATTTTCGTTGGCAATCTTAATGTTTTAATGGCCAGGAAGAGTCGGTAGAGAAATCGTGTGCAATCGTACAAACGTGATTGGAGGTACTCGATTGTGCTACTAAATGAGATAATCGAATATTACTAAAAGAAATGACTTAGTAAAAAAAAATATATAACGAAACATACTCAGTGATTGGGCTGGCTGTCTCAGTAAGATTCTACATTAATCGTTCTTATAACTCATAAGAAAAAATGTAATATATATATTTAAGCATATTTTATTTTTATACCTACTCATTTGAAATTCAAGTTTTGTCAGAAGTAATTCATACTAAAACAAAAAAATCTAAAAAAGCATAGTTTGTTTTTATAGAAATTTAGAGTTCAAAGTTGAACCTAATCCTATGCTTAAACTTTGAGTAATGTTCATTATTTTTTTATAATAAAAAAACATTTTTGGTAGAGACATAAACTTTTATGTATGTAATTACATTTTAAAATGCAGTATTTATGTTTTATTTACAAAAATTATTTAAACCTATTGAATTATGATAAGTAAAATAAATTACTTTAATAGCAATATCAAAAAATAAACTTAGTGATGTTGTAGTGTCATAGACGATCACCGTTCAATTTCGTTAATTTTTCTATTTATTTAATTCAAATTTTACACATCAACCAAAGTCACTCACTAGAAACCTACTTTACAGCACAACAATATCCATTTACTTAATTGTTTACTATTTAATTTTAATTTTTTTATTTATTCTTCAACTAAAATTATATTAAATAGTTAACTCTTAATTCTAAATTAAAATGTAAAATTTTATAATATTGATTTTAATAAATATTGTTCAATAATTGTTAAGTAGTAAAACGATGGTATATAATTGTTCGGAATATTGATAAAAAAAAAATCAAACGGTTGACGTTTGTCGTCTCTTTTATGTCAGTATTCGTGACTGCGGTTACACGGAGTAAATGTCAAATAAACGACACAATAATATAATAAATTATTCTCAAAATATAATTTTAAAAAATGTTTTATAATTTGCAACATAATCCTTTGAGTTTTGAGAATTGTAATAATCTTATAAATTAATAAATTGTAAATATCTAAATAAATAAGAAAATACTGATTAAAATTTAAAAAAATAAGAATTTTCAGCATTATTATTTATTATTATACTTGGTATAATTTTAAAAATCTTTTGATTCTTTTTTAAGCTGTTTATAAGCGAATGAAATTTTTAAATTGTAAAAAAAGCTTTGAAATGTAGCATAATATTTCCCAAATTATTCTTGTGTGAGTGTAAAAGTATTAAAAATACATAGCCAACGATTTATTTTATGCATTTAAAGTTAGAATTTTGATAAAATTCGTTAAAATAGCAAACATTTACAAACTATTTTGTTATTTGAAATTAAAATAATGTAAAAAATTAATGAAAGATGACAAATAATGAAACTAAAAATTTCTAAAAATTAAATTTAAAAAAAAATTTTTAATATTTTAAATTTTATACTAAAAATTATACGAATTATGACGCGTTTAAAACTAAAACTAAAAGTAATTTTTAGCGATGATTGCTCGATGCAGTCACTATTTAGAACTCCAAGATGTCAATACAATTCTTAGGTATATTTTAAATTGTATGTATTTCGTTTTATTCGTGTACCCACATTCTACGTACAAATAATCTGCATTTAAGAAACACGTTTATAATATGACCACAACTGTACAAAGGATAAGCCTATTGAAAATACAAATTTATATTTTAAACTATAATTACCTGTGTTACCTATGTGTTTAGTTATTTCTGGAAATTCAGAAGTCATTGATTGATCAATGATATAAGAAGTGTAAAAAAAATGTACATACAAACATCATAATTAGAGGTCATTTACTGCGATTCAGTCCCGATTTGCCGACATCTAATTCGCCGACTACTCGTTTCACCAACACAAAAACCGGTCTCCGGTAAAAATGGAAAAAGTTCTAACTCGCCGACAAATAAAATTGTAGGTTCACATGCAAAATATAAAAATAATTTTTATGTGGAAAAATTAAAATCTACAATCAACAGTCAAAATGTTGATAAAACTTCACTATAATATTATATTGTTAGTTGACAGTTAATAATTATTGCACTGTTAGTTAGTTATTTTATAATTTATTTAATAATATTAATATTAAATTTAAAATTTTGTGGTTTACAGTTTATAATAAATTTTGAGCGTGATGGCTTACTGAGCGTGTAGCGCTTAATAATGCTATTGGTAGACCAAAGCCAAACATATTTATCTTGATCAAAGAACTAAAAAACCAGCAAACAAACTTTGAACTTGACCTCACACCACCAAAAAATTGCAATCAGCCACCAAAGACGAAAACTAAATATCGGAAATTAGAAGAAAAGTTATAATTTTCAAAAGAAAGGTACCTATAACATTTATTAATTTGAAATTGATTATTTTTTCTTACGTTTAAAATTACAATTTTAGGCTATAAAGACATAAAGTGGTACAATTTGTATTATATAATACTTGAACGCAATAATGTTTCATTTTCATTTAGGAAATAGAAGCTCATCATAACTCATAACCTCATAAATTATGAGGTCATAATACTCACACTATACCTATTATATTTTAAATTATACTATATTATAATATATTATATTATTTACTGTCGGTGAATTGGGTTTTGTCGCGTCTGTTGGCCAATCGGTACGACACGTTTACTGTACTTCTTTTCGACTTACAGAGAACCTAAAATACTAATGATATTGTGTTTTAATAATCATTTATTTTATTTAAAAATGTTTTTATTAAATTTAAACTTAATTTTAATAGATATCATTAAAAAATAAAATAAAATAAAATAAACCAATTCATTTACTGTAGTATGTAGCTGTAGAAAATTCATATTTAAAAAAATTAATTTTGTTGTGTTGAATCTAAATAATTGGTAAGTATTATTTTTAATACAGTTAATATATTATATGACGTACGTATATAAATTATAAATAAATATGTACACCCATGTTTAATATTTCGAAATAATTGTTTACAATGTGTGTATCTACTGATTACTACTATTTAGTAGTTATGTGACATATAGGACAATAATATTAATTTTAACCACGAAAAAAGCTTTTTGACATTAACTTGTGTAGCCGAAAACATTATGTATTGTAAATTCATGAATTTCTCAATTTCTGGTTATTTGGATAACATTAAATTTAAGTGTTGTAGATCATTAGCTTAGTTATTTAAAACTGTACAAAATAATAAATATTATTATTTTCAGAAATAATAATAGGTAATTTAATTTCATTGCCATTCCCAGTATAGTATTTGTTATCTCGAAAGTTTTTGTATAATAATTTTTGAAGCCGAAATAACGTTTAACGTCAAATATTCGACAGATCGATATTACGGCAATTAAACGTTATCTTATTATTATTATATTTATTATCATTATCTATATCTTCTCACGGTCGGGTCAGTATAGTAAAGTTGCGGACCTAAATAATTATGTGTTGACCGTTTAATAGCTATAGCGTCATAGCTATTAGTGTTCATATAATATATAACATTATATTAATTAATTATTATATTTTTCAATATTTATACATTTTTTAAGTGTTTATGTTTTACGCAAATAAATTATATACTTTTACCGAAGTAGTTAGTGATTTAAAACAATCCCCCCTTCGGCTCTAACAATAATATATACTGTATAGGGCTTATTATTAATTATGTAGAAATTAAAATTTATTAAAGACAAGTTTGTAAATTCTAAGACAAATAATAATATAATTATTATCCCATTTCTAATTATTTATATGATTTTACAGATCTACGATTTTTTAATTACTTATTGTTAATTATTAATTTACCATTCATCATGAACAAATAAAATAGGTATTGGAATTTGAAACAGAAAATTTCAAAAAATCTTTTATATAAAATGTAATTTTCAGTTCGGTTCATGTAGAAAAATGATTAAGGATTCTGGTCTGGTTTTTGTCACTATTTTTAAAAGGTTTCGATATAAAACCGAGTAATAAGTATACTGTATACATATTATTCGATTTGAATATAAACAAAATATTATTAAGTATATTAGTGATATTAGAAAGTCTAAAGCTAAATTTTTTTTTTCGAATAATTTTAAATTAAATGATTTCAACATAAAAATAGTTAAAAAGTTGTTTTTAATCTCGAAACCCCCAAAATATATACTTTTTTAAATAAAAAAACAAAACAAATAATTCGTGTTGTTCAGTGTATGATAATTAATAACGATTAAATAGATAATCTTATCATATAAGAATCTTATAGTAATATATTCTACTAAAAAAATTTAAAACTAATGGTAAAATTTGATGATTAGTAAAGTTTATTGATAATACATTCAAGTGCTATCCGATACTTTTCTTTCAAATTTATAAACATTTATGACAATCAATTTTTTAATACTGGCAGTTCACACATTTCTACCAAGCAAATCAAATAAAAACCACACAAAAAATTTGTACACTTTCATATTAATTAAAAATTAAACTTACTTCATCAGCAAAATTCATTTTAAAATTGAATCAATTAATGCATTTTAAAGAAATATTTCTAAATTTCAAATAAAAAGGATGCCATTTCCATTTTTCTAGTATATAATATGTATTGACTATATTTAATGCAAAATACAACAAATTCAATTTATGGCTCATAATAAATATCACATCTGACTTTTTCTTTACAGACACAAATTTTATAAGATTGGCATAATATGTACCAGAAAATCATTTGATAAATACATTTGAAGAATTAATAGATACTCATTTTTACACAGATATTGAAAATATTTTAACAACCACTTATAGATTACCTTATGGATGTAAATAAATTAGAGTTAAGATTAAATTTTCAACTTTTTTTAATAATTTTTTCAATTTGTAATATTTTCTCTATAAAACTAAAGTAAATGAATAAATAATTTATAAAATTAACAATGATAAAAAATCATACAAAAAAGCAAAATGATCTTAATAGATCAAGCATAATACATTTTTAATTGTATAATCTTAATAATTTAAAACTGTATCAAAAATAAATAAAATAAATAAATAAGCATTTTATACTGTTTGTTAGATTATACAGATAGATTGTTTAAAATGCTTGTTTATTATTTGTTCTTATTTTATATTTTTTTTGGTTGTTGCTATTTGAACAAGTTCCAACTGTAACATAAAATACAATTTTTCATCTTTTAGAGTCTTGATATTTCCATCAAGTAGCATATTTTGACTTGATGTTAGATTTTTTAAACACCCTGATGTTTCTTCAGCACTTTTTATAGATCTAGTATTACGTTTTGAACCAACTATCCCTCCTAAAACAGAAAAATAACTTATATTGTGCTGTTGCAAGCTGACATTATTTCTACAAAAGTATTGAGTGATAGTTTATACTTAAAATTTGTCTATTATTTTTTACAGTATCTACAGTAAAATCATATTAGTACCCATAAGTATATTGTGTACCTATGTATCATTTAGCATTTATGAATTTCATAGGTATTTTAATTGACTTATAATTGATATTTTTCCTATAATTAAATCTGAAACCATCAATAATGTAATAAATATATATAGATTATTTTTTAAATGTTAATTACTAATTTTTAGGTTACATTTTTATATTATTTTCCTTAAAAATTCATATATTTCTTACTTTCTTTATTATTATTATTATTATTATATTTTTTTTTTAATTTTTGTTATATTTTAATAATAATAATAATATGATAGAAATAATAAGATGATTCAAATAAAGTTTTTTTTTCAAAACTACCTACTACATTATTGGTTATTGCCTTTTGGCTCACTATAAATATATTTGTTATGTGGTGATGACACACATATATGTGTATAAAATTAGGTTATCTGGATGGATTTTAGATATTTAATATTAGTATTTTCTTTTTTTTATATATATGAACCAATATTTGTTACAAAATAAAATTTATGAAGTACAAACTTTTTATCATGATTTTTTAAACATTAATATTTGATTAACTATATTTTATTAGTAATTTATTTACTATTAAAACTAAATGAAAACATGTAGCTATATTAAAAAAAAAAAAATTTATTTGAAATTTTATGAATACAATTTTTATTAATTATTTCTGTCATTTCAAGTATTTACAAATGTAAATACTAACATCTATTAAATTTACTTTAGTCAATCTAAGCTTTAAACTCAATTTTAAGTAATCTGAGTAATAATTTCTTTTTGGTGACAACTATTCTTTAATACAGTATTGAAAATTACTATAGTAGCCCTAAACAACATTCAATCAGGAATTTTGGAATATCTAAACATTTCAATAAAACTTTTATTATCTATTATTAGAATCAAAAAATTGTAACAAATAAAATTCAAATATCTAATATTGAGTAATAAATTATAATACATATCAGATTTTAGTAAGTTTATCATTAATTGTATTTCAGGCTGAGCTTGAATAGCAATTTTAAGTGTCATACAACATAGATGTATAAGTAATTAAAAAATATCAAGTACCAATTACATCAAAATGTAAAACTTAAACTAATGTGTTCTTGTATTTAGCAATTAGCTCTTGCCCAAAATTCATCTTACACTTATTAACTAGTCGCATACTTATTCTAAAATGGTAGGTGGTTGCTCCTACACTTGTGTTCGGTGTTTCTAATTTAAGATGACTATTTAATACAAATTAATTTATAAAAATTAATACTAAATGTAGTATTAAGATTATACAATAATACATAATATTTATTACTCAATTAAAACTAGATAAATGTATTAGTTAAAATTCCAATTTCCTCTTCATTATGCTAAGTGGATATAAAATTAATGTTTTTACTGTCTCATATAAATCATTTAATATTTGTGTATATAACCATGAGACAAGAACTTAATTTGTTACACTCATTGCTAATAAGTAATAAGTAATAATTATTGGGAAAAAAATGTTTAATACCTTTCATAATTCTTGATAGACGATATTTTTTTTTGAAATAGCGTTTTTCAAAAATTGTTGGTACAGCATCCGAATAAAGTGTATTCGCCTCTTTAAATTGATTTAAAACACGGTATAAAAATGAAATGAGCATATCTATGGTTTGGCAAAATTTCTCTATTTGTTAATTTACACCGATTGATCCATACCTGACGTCTTTTTGGACATGTTGAAATCTAACATACAATTATAATATACAATTGATTAGATTGGCATGCTCTGTTTACTTACACTATGGTAATATTATTAAGACTTACACGTGGAAAGATAGTCTGAATTGTATTTTGAGTTGTTGTTCGGTACACAAAACAAACGTTACATTTACAAATTCATAGATATGTTGTAATTTTGTAAAGCTCGATCAC